AAGGGCTGCATGATATAAGGGCGCGCGAACACTGGCGGAGGGCAATCGGCAAGTTGACGTGGTGGCTCGGTCCCGCCCCCTCAACGAACGGCGCATCTCCTTGCGCCTTTCCCCCCACACACGCTCACACCTCTCAAACCACTTCCTGTCCTCGTCGACCCCAGGCACCAGCGACTTCAGCAAGCGGGACGAGTTCAGCAACACAGTGCGCACGCTGCAGTGGAGGGAGCAGCTTGAGGTGCGGGCCAACCCCGGGGGCCCGGCAGCGAGCTAAACCCTAGACCCTAGGCCCCGAACCTTGAAGCCCGAAGCCCGAACCCGACCAGCATGTGGCGGGCGAGCAGGGCCGGTCAGGCGGGGTGAATTGCGTGGGAAGGGCCGCCAGACGCAGGCGGTGCCCGGGCTGCGCGCGGCGCTGGCGGCTGTGGCGCCCGCAGCGCTGTGACCAGGGTCTGCGTGATGGTGACTGCATGCGGAGTCTTCGAGCCTCCGCAGCAGGCCCCGAGACCGGTGCCACATGCACTTTCAAACACAACTTGCTGCCCGCCACGTCCCGACCCATGAGCCTTGACCTGCGTGGCGGCCGATCCCGTTGACCATCATGCACATTGTTCACGCAGCACGAGGCCAAGTGGACGCGCCAGGCCATAGAGTTCTTCAACGAGGCGGCGCAGCAGACTGAGGGGGCCGGCGGCGGCGCCGCCAGCGCGCGCGGCAGGGAGCACAACGGCCCGGTGAGGGCGCGGCCGCGGGAGTGAACCATCCTTCTGCTTCACTTGGAAGAGTCACCTCCCCCAAAGCAGCGAGTGGGGCGTGCGCGGCGGAGGTGCTGGGGTGGGGAGCTGCTGAAGCGTGCGTCCGCGCCCGCTCGGCACTGAGCCACAGTGCAGCCGGACTTTGCAAGTCTGGCCGCCCCGCCGGCCTCTGCATGGCCCCTTGTCCTCCTCCTCACAAACATTGGGCCACGCCACCCCACAAAAACCCGAATTGAAACCTCGTCACAACCCAAAGCCACCCCACTCACTTACCCCACGCGGCGCCCCACCCCTGCCCTGTCGGTGACCCTTTCGGCGGCTCACCAGGCGCTCTATGATCTGGTGTACGAGAAGGCCCCCGGCCGCGAGGCCCCTGCCTGCAGCAAGGTGCACCGGGACACCCACAACCCGACAGCCCTGTCCCACGACCGCGCCCTCGGCGGCCGCCTAACGACCGCGCGGCTGCACTTCCAGGCGCCGGGGCAGCTGTCCAAGCCGGAGTTTGCGCGGCGGCCGCTGATACGGGACACGTTCTTCAGGCGCACCAACGTAGCCTTCCCGGCAGACTGCGACGCGGCGGGCGGGCAGTGACGTCCGGCGCCGGCGCCGGCGGGGGGCCTGCCGCGGCACGGCGGCGGGCGCGGGCGCGCGGCTGGCGCTGTGCCGGGGATGCATGGGGTCCGAGTCGGCCCCTTGGGCTGCAGTTCTTTGCCCGTTTTTGTGTGCGGGGTTTGTCGGCTGGTGTCGCCTTCGCATCTTGTGACGCTGGGAGGTGCCTGCTGGTGATGTGGCCCCGCATGCGGCGCTTTTGACCTGTCACTTGACCGCCGGCCCAAGCCCGCAGCGGGCGTGGATGCACGTTCATGGCTCCCCTAATTTTTCCTGTAAGTTTGGCTTTTGCGCAACCGTTGATGCTGAAGCGAATACCAGCAAAGATCCTGGTTTTACAAAACGAGTCGGGTTCAGGAATGGGGGTTTGCAAGGGGGAGCAGCAGCTGCAGCCTCCCGGCTGTTCGAGCAGCTCTTGCCTGCCATAAAGGAGCCAATGCACTCCGGAGATCACGCCAGGGCTGAATGCAAGAAACACCGCGCAAAAGGGGACCCACACGGGAACAACCCACGCCCCCTGCCAGACTCAAAACGCGCACACAGCAGAGGGCGGGGCGACATCACACGCTCATTTGGAAGCCTCAGGGCCCTGGCGCTGCGGCGCACCGGACCATGCAGCCGGCCAGGGGCATGCAGAGGAGATTCAGAATCGCAGAGGGTGCGGCACAGCCAGGTGTGCCGCCAGCCCTGATGCGCGCGGCCTGCAGGCCAGGCGGCATAAGCCGAGACGTGCATCGGAGCAATCGCCGAGAGCAGGCGCTGGGATGCAGGAGCTGCCACTGGTGGCCGCTGCGCGGCGTAGCAGAAAACAAACCCCAAGAGAAGACGCAATGACGGCTCCGCGGAGGGACAGGCAGCAATTCACGCTCGCGCACTGAGGTGCGCGAGCGCCGCGCACGGTCGCTCGTGGCGGTGCCACCCTCAAACCTGCCGGGTCCGACCACAGTGCCGGCGTGTCGCAGCCGCCATGCGGATGGTCCTTTCGCTCTGTGAAAGCTGCGCTCGGATACCATGACAAATATAATCTCACATCGCTCAGTCTCGGCCCTCGACGCCGCTCATGCCGCCGTCGCTCCCCTCGCCGCTGCCCGCGCCTGCGCCCTCGTCCTCCGCCGCCGCCTCGATCCACTCCACCACGAGCGCCAGCGACGC